ATTTTATTTATGTATTTTCGGATAACTGAATAAATTCTCTTCTAAGTTAAAAAATGTATTACAAAACAATAATTCCGAAGGTGCTCCATGAATTAATCTATGACATAACTTTTTCTCTAAATTATGACGTCATCGATGACGTAAGTAAAAACTTGCGTGCCGTGTTTGAAATTTCAGACATAAAAAAATCAATTTTTTTTAAAAAAAGGCAAATGATGACGTAAGTACAAACCCTCGTGAAACCAACTTTTCACGCGTCTCATTTTCTTTCCATCAAAAAAAACAAAAAATGGTGCTGCAACACCCCTCAAATTTGGAGCCTAGTTGCGCTTATGCTACTCGCTTTGGCCAATTTTGCGCACGTTTCTGGGGAAAGTTATTAAGGCATTAAAAATGTGCACTTTCCCCCCCGTTTGTCGAAAAATTAAAAGATCCTATGCTTGTCTCCCCACTCTCCCTCCCCCCCTCGTTTTTCAAAAAGTTGAAAAATCCTTATGCTACTAGGTTCACCTAATTTTGCACAACTTTGCACACCTATTTTCAAATTTTGCAAAATGTGCACTTTTCCGCCGGTTTTTTGAGAAAATTAAAAAATTTTATGTTACTCAATTCGGGTTGAAAATAAACGTACAAAATTGAGTGAACCCAGTAGCAAGGGTTTTTCAATTTTTTGATAAACAGGGGAAAACGTGTAAATTAATACAACATTCAACTCCCAAAGGAATGTGTAAAATTAAAAATAAGGTGTGCAAAATTAGCCAAAGCGAGTAGCATAAGAATTTTTCAAGTTTCAGATAAACGGGGAAAAAAGTGCATATTTATCACACCTCATAACTTTTCCCAGAAGAGTGTGCAAAATTTGAAAATAGGTGTGCAAAATTGTCCAAAATTAGATGAAACGAGTAGTATAGGGGTCTATCAATTTTTTTAAAAACGGGTGGGGTTATGCAAATTTTTGATACGATATAACTTTCCCTAGAAAAGTGTGCAAATTTTGAAAATCGGTGTGCAAAATTATGGGTTATTTATTTTTGAAATTTGTCTATTTGTCGAAAAAAGCAAATTTTCAAAGACGGGGGTAGTCCTGACAACCTGTTCACCTCTCGACCTGTCATATTTTGACAGCTGTTAAAAATTACATTTGAGTGTTGAGTATTCCAAATTGTATTATCATCCGAACCTAAAGTGTTTGCAAAATTTCAGCAAAATCCGTTGCCAAATAATGGTTCAAAAATCTGCACCCGTCACATTTGACAGTTGACACCTGTCATTAGTGATCTAAAATGTATTATCATCTAATCACCTGAACTTGAAGTGTATGCTAAATTTCAGCAAAATCCGTTGTGAAGATATGGTTCAATCTGCAACTGTCTCAATTTGACAGTTGACACCTGTCATTAGCGGTCTAAAACCTTCTTATTATTATTGCCTTTCATATTAAACATTAAACTGGTTTGAGGCACATCGATCGGATAGTTTCAAAGTCTATAACGGACATAGGTAGACACACAGACAGACAGACAGAAACAATTTTTGTGTTTTATTCCTCTATTTATTAGTAACAGAAAATTACTACCCACAAAAATACATAACTATTTACCTATTTATTATTTTTTTTAAATTATAATAACATTCCTATTCTATGGTAGGTATATGTATAATAAGTACCTATATAAAACACAAAGGCATTTAATTTGTTATACAAAAGACAACTTGGCAACGCAGCCTAGCAAATACGCGTGCATTTAGTGCCTCAAATTAATTTAATCGCAGAAACGACTGATTTTACTAGGACACTAGCGCCATCACGCAGGTTTATATTTTCGCCGCATTAGCATTATTAAAATCTTTATTTCTAACATTACAAATATCTTAAAACTACCTTAGCCTACTATAATCATATGTCTTAATTCTATAGTACTGACAAGGGCACCAGGCGATGTTGTGGCCAGAATTTAGAACGATGTATAAAAGGGGTAGTAGTGGCAATCAGTCAGTTTTGGCGCTTTACTGGGGCACGCAGTGATGCTCCTTATAGACCTATTCACAGTTTCGACTTTAATTCGTGTTTTAGTATTTTAGTGTCCAGGTGTCATTCCATAGTTGCCAAGATATTCATGAAGGGAAAATTTAAAAAAAAACCCTTCTCCACGTTTTTTTGGTTTGAAAAACTTCTAGCTTGCGCCAATTTCCAAGCAGAGCGTTTGCAATTAAATCAGGTGGGCGCGCCGTGGGTGGGACCCCGGCGCACCAATGGTATCGCTAGTCCTAGTGAACTATTCTAATGAAAAGTTGCTAATTTAATTACATTCGCTCGTCGCCTCAAGGCGGCTCGAAATATATTGGCAATCTATGGTGAATGGGTCGGTGCTTAACGGGGTTGTGTGGGTCGAACTTGAGGGTGACAAGGTTTCTTGTTAGGGTAGGTCCGTAAGCTGAACGACTGAAGAATTTGAGTGAGACTTCATTGAAGTATTCGAGGATGGTGTTTATACCAGCAAGTCGATGCACTTCGGCCGTTCGGGCGTCCATTGGCAGTGAAAGGGCGTTCTTGAGAATTTTATTTTGGAATACTTGGAGCTTTTTCTTATTGGTGTTGGATATGTAGCTCCAAGCAGGTGCTCCGTAGAGTAAAGTTGGACGTATTATTGTCTTGTAGACGCTGATTTTGTTTTTTGGGCTCAGAAAAGAATTGTTCTTCATGATGGGAGACAGAAGACGCTCGGCGATATGTGCCTTTCTGAGGGTGTGTGCTACCTGGGGGTAGCCCTTGAGGGTCTTATCAAGGACTATTCCCAGGTACTTGGCAGTGGTTTTGGGTTCGATTATGACGTTGTTAATCGTCAGAGGGGGATTCATGATGATGTTTGTGCGCTTCCTGGTAAGTGTAAGGAGTTCTGTTTTGGGGGTGTTGAGGGTGATTTTCCAGGTCTGTAGGTAGGGAGTTAGGAGGTCGATGTGTCGTTCCAGCGCCCTTCTCGCGTTTTCTGCTAGAAAGGCACTGGTGTATATTGCAGTATCGTCGGCATACATCATGACTTTAGTGTCATTTGTTTTGGGTATGTCGGCGATATACAAGTTAAACAGGGTGGGGGAGAGGACGGTGCCCTGGGGCACTCCGGCCCGAATCGATTTGGTTGGGGATAGGGAGCTTTCGAATTTAATATTGAATGTTCTATCGCAAAGGTAAGAGGCAATAAGAGAAATTAGATGGAGGGGTAAGTTGTGTACTGTCAGTAGTTTGTAGAGAAGGCCCTTGTGCCATACTTTATCAAAGGCCTTCTCTATGTCGAGTAGCAGTAGGAAGGTGCTTTCACGGTTGTTGAACGCTATTGAGGCGTCTTGAGCTACCCTCGCTACTGCTAGAGTCGTGTTGTGCTGAGGGCGAAATCCGTATTGTTCGTTGGGGAGGCATTTCAGGGAGTCAATTGAAGCGGAAAGTCTACGGGAGATGATTTTTTCAGCGATTTTGCCTAAGGAATTTAGCAACGAAATTGGTCTGAAGGACTGTGGTTGGGATAAGTCTTTGCCGGGTTTTGGGAAGACTATTATACTTGCCTGCTTCCAGAGTTGTGGAAAGTGCTGTAGGGTTAAGACTGCATTGACGATTTGCAGGAGATGCATAATAGTCTTTCGGGGGAGGTTCTTGATCAGTTGATTTGTGATTGTGTCGGGTCCGGGTGCTTTCCTGTTTTTGAGTTTTTTCAGTTCGACAGCTAGCTCGGTAGGCGTGGCCAGTAACCGTTGGTGAACTCCTGGAGGGATAGGATATTTGCGCACGACAAAGGCGTCGGCTATGTCGTTGATGTGTGTGTGTGTGTTCTTGTTGCGTCGGGTGTTTCGCTGTAGACCCCAGCGAAGTGGTCAGCGAATATGTTCCCTTTGTCCTGTTCCCTGTAGTAGCTGACGCCATCGACAACCAGGTCCGACTGTGTCGTACCTGATCTTCGAAGATTTTTGGCCAGCTTCCACAGGGAGTTGTCTTGGGTCTCCAGGGAGGACACATACCTCATCCAGGACGTGTTCCTGTGATGACGTATGCCCCTCTCTATCTCCCGGCTGAGTAGGTTAAGTAACTGTTTGTCCAGTAAGTTTGGGCGCTTTTGCCATGCACGCTTGACCCTATTCCTCTCCTTGATGAGCTCAACAACGGAGTCTGGGATGATGTCCGCTCTTGATTTGGGGGTGATTTTTGGAGCTAGCTGATCTCTGACTTGCGTAATGTTGTGTGTGATTAGTGTTACTTGCCGCTCAAGTTCGGGAATTGTAGTTATGGGGGTGGGGATTGTAGTGATGTTGTTCAAAAGTTGTTTGTATAGTGTCCAGTTGAAGTTTTTGTAGTTGTGTATTTTTTGCGGTTCCTGCACTGGAGGGTTTTTCCAGTACAGGAAGAGCGGTATGTGGTCCGAGTTTAGAATGTTTTTTGTTTTAAGTGTCAAGTTTCTGAATCCCCTCGAGAGAGCGATATCAATCGTATGGAAGGGTTCAGCCCGTTAAGCGGATAGTGTAGTGAAATGTCTGGGTTGTCATTTAAAAACTTGAAGAGTAGTCGACCTGTCGTGTTGTTTGAGTGATTAAGCCACGTCGTGTGCCTGGCATTAAGGTCCCCGAGAAGTAGTGCTCTACTATTTCTGGGAAAGAAGACCTTAATGTCGCGGGCGGTTCGTATTGCTTCGGGGGGGGGGGGGGGGGGGGGGCGTAAGGAGCTCGTTAATGTTCACGAGCGAGTTAAGCTCGCTCATGGTAGTTGCCAATTTAAGGAAGTCAGACTGATTGCCATTTACCGCTCCTATCATATTTGTGTTTTGTGTGGTCGTTGTAGGCTGTGTTCTGGGGGTCTATATTTTCGCCGCCGGACGGTTCTTCTAGAGACGTTAGTCTATAATATTCTTTGGTGCAACTAAGAAAGACGGAACAAATATTTGATATTTTTTCAAATCAAGGAAAAAAAATAAAAATATATAAAAAATGTTTTTTTTTTTTCCAGATTTGATGAATGAATGATAACAATGACAAGTGACAAGTTTGACATTTCTAGAATCGCCAAATCAAATCTGATGATTTTTATTCTAATTGAGGTGAGTTAATTTTTTTTTTTTTAATAAATTTTGATGGAAATAAGAAATATTTTTTTATGATGAGATAATTAAGTGTAGAAGATATTTTGAAAAATGATAAAATGTCACTGTTTGTTGCCAAAAGGATTCTGACAATTGTCACGTGTCATTTTTTTCTACCTTTGACATTTTGATAGCTTTTTAATGATGGTTTTTCATTTCTAGAAAGTGCCTTTTATACTGATCTACAGAGGAGGCATATCATTTTTGGTAAGATAAAGTCATTTTATTTAATATTTGTATATCTATTTCTTAAGTTCATAATAAATAAATCAAAACAAAAAGAAATCTAACAAAATTTTAAAAAATTTACGAAAAAAAAAAAGAATATAATGATTAAAAAATTAAAAAATAAATAAAACATTGATAAAAAATAAAAGTATAAGAAAAATGAAATTTAAAAAAATCAATATCAAAAGTAAATAAAAAAAAAAAAATCATGATGACAAGTTATTACCGCCCCAGTCTGAACTTACTGTGACTGATTGGTTTCATTTTAAACTGAACTTTCAAAAAATCATTGGAAAATCAGTCAAAAATAAGTTTCCTGTATTTTCTAACCTCACTTTTATTTATTCTAGAATCCAAATGCAGAAAAGGGGACTTTTTTTCAACTTCTAGGAAAAAAAAAAAGGTAAGAAATTTTTATTATTAATTATTTTTTTATGTCCAGTATTAAATCCCATGCAAAGTTGATTTATATTAAAAATTTCTCTGCGCTGAAATGCTGGTAAATTGAAGGTACCTGTATTATCCTCCGGGCTTTTTGAAAATTCCGTGGAAGTTTTCGGTTGGAAACGCAGGTTACAATTTTTGATTTCCGTAATTTATAATGATTTTTGTAAATTTGTATAGTTTTTGTGATTTTCGTAAATTTTTGTGATTTTTATAAATTTTAATGATTTTCATAATTTTTTTTGATTTTCGTAAGTTTTTGTGAATTTTTGTGATTCTTGTAATTTTTTATGATTTTCATAATTTTTTGTGATTTCTGATGGATTCTTTGAAAGTGGAAGCACCAAATATAAGTTTGTGAATATCAATAAAAAGCACTACTACACTTTGAACAACGTTTTATTGATTAATATAAGAAAACTAAACTCAGCTTGACATTAAATTGGTTAAATAATTACAGCCACTTTACAGCCAAAACGTGGACTTACTTAAACAACAGAAAAAACAAAAACAAACAACGGCTGACCTTACAACATAACCACACATTATATTATTGACACCTTAGACAAGGACAGGACCGAACTTAACTCGGAGTACTCTATACTCTATAGAACATGTCTTTTGATTGCAAATCCAACACCCCTTCTCAATCAAAAGATATATATTTTATAAGTTTTTACAATACAGATATCAATCCTAATCCTATTTTATGTTTAGCAAACAAATCACCAGTTAAATTCTTGGTTAGAATGTCGGCGATTTGTTCACCAGTTGGTTTGTACTCTACAACTACAGTACTACTATTGACCAAATCTTTAATGAAATTGTATTTGATATCAATGTGCTTTAATTTTCTGTGATCAAACCTCCTTGTCAACTTGATACAGGATTGGTTGTCCTCAAATATGACAAAACTGGTTTTCTCAAAACCAAAGTCACAAAGTATATTTGACAACCAAATGCCTTCTTTAGCAGCCTCTGCAAGAGAGACATATTCTGCTTCTGTGGAAGAGGTTGCAACTGTACTTTGTTTTTGAGTTGACCAAACTACTGTACAACCAAAAACCTGAAATAAGTACCCACTTGTCGATTTTCTGTCGGTTTGATCTCCACCAAAATCTGCGTCCGCATATCCAACAAGCTTGACATCAGAGTTTAACGAAAAACATAATTTTGTATCAACAGTTCCCTTAAGATACCTTAAAATTCTTTTAAGATTTTTCCATAATTCTTCATTTGGTTTACTCTGAAACCTACTGCACAAATTGACTGAAATACTTAAATCTGGACGTGTAGCCAGCATTAAGTACATTAAACATCCCACGAGTTCCCTAATAGGTTTGTTTTTAAATTCCTCAGTTTGAGATGTGTTATCCATTTTTAAATAATCTGCACTTAAGGGGGTGCTTATCGGATTACAATTACTCATGTTAAAGCGGTCCAGCAAGTTAATGATATATTGCTTTTGACTAAGATAAAGAAAATTGTTAGAATATGATATGTCGATACCCAAAAATGACTTTAATCTTCCAAAATCTTGCATTTCAAATTCTAATTTTAATTTAACTTTAAGTTTATTAGTTTCAGAATAGTCATTGCTAGACAGCAAAATGTCGTCAACATAGAGTAACATGTATATTGTACTATTTTCCAAGTGTTTTATATAAAAACATGGATCATTATTTGACCTGATAAAATTTTCCTTTTTGGCAAATTCGTTAAATCTTTTGTTCCAATAGTAGGGCGCTTGTTTAAGCCCATACAGCGCCTTATTCAACTTACATACCTTTCCGTTATCTTCAAAACCTTCAGGGATTGACATGTATATGTTTTCATTAATTGTACCATGCAAAAAGGCGGATTTGACATCCATTTGTTGTATTTCATAGTTTTTAGAATGCGCTACTGCCAAAAAAGTTCTAACTGTGCTCAGCCTTGCGACTGGAGCATAGGTTTCGTGAAAGTCGAATCCCTCCTTTTGCATAAATCCCTTAGCTACTAGCCTAGCCTTATATTTTAATGATTCACCCCTATCATTAGACTTTATTCGAAATACCCATTTACAACCAATAGTCCTAACATTGTCCGGTTTTTCAACGAGAGACCAAGTATTATTTTTTATTAAAGCTCTAATTTCTTCATCTACAGCATTTTTCCAAAATTTATATTCAGCAGATTCTTTAGCTTTTTCTAAGCTTTCTGGAACCCTATCTACAAAACTAGATGCGTTTAAAGCCATGTGCTCTAAATCACCTTCCATGACATAATCATTATAATAAGCCGGTGTTTTCTTTACTCTATTACTTTTCCTAACATCATTTTCAATATTTGACTCATTAAAATGATTGTTTTCAAAAATATTTATTTTTTCTTGCTCTATTTCATTGATATTAGTTCCTAACATTTTGTTTTCATTTAAATCACCTTGAAAATCATTCCTAACTTCAATATCTGAACCTTCAATATTAACAAGAGTACTACTAAGTTTTAGATTGCTTATATTCCTTGACTCATCAAACACTACATTTCGAACAACACACACTTTTTGCTTAAAAATATCCCAGACTCGATAACCATTACTTGAATATCCTATCATAATATTAATGTCTCCTTTTGAATCAAATTTTGACTTTAACTTTTCTTTTGGAACATGGCAATATGCTAAGCTGCCAAAAATTCGCAAGTTTTTCAAATCAGGTTTTGTTTTATAAATTAACTCAGCAGGTGTGACATTTTCTAAAGAAGCTGTAGGGGACCTATTGATCAGATAAACAGCACAAAGTACTGACTCTCCCCACATATTTTTAGGCAATCTCGAATGTAGCAACAAAGCCCTACCTTTTTCTAATATTGTCCTATTTAAACGTTCGGCAGAGCCATTCATTTCAGGGTTATAGGGTACTGAATAACGAAATCTTATACCTTTGGCCTTGCAAAAACCAGTAAAATCATTGGAGCAATATTCACTCCCATTATCACACTGGATTGACCCAATCCTGTATCCAGTTAAATTTGTCATAAATGCTTCATATTCTTTGAAACAATTATATGTGTCACCTTTATTTGCTATTAGATAAATGACAGTAAAATGTGTAAAATCATCAAGAAAGGTAACAAAATATTTTTTGTTGTCATGTGTACTAGGAGTTATTGGCCCACATATATCACTATGTATGATTTCTAGGGGTCGTTTCGTTACTTTTCTCGATGGTTTTTCAAATGGTAAACGAGTAATTTTTGATTGTGTGCAAATTGCACAAATTTCATTTTCTCTGTTTTCAAAATTTACATTTAAATTCTCTACCATGTTATTCTTAATAAGTTTCTCAAAATTTTTATTTCCGATGTGCCCTAACCTAGCATGCCATAGTTTAAAATTCTTTTCCTTTTCACATATATTAACTTCTCTATTAATTTCATATAGTACATCAAATTCAACAACATATAACCTATTTTCTTTTATTCCTTTAGCTATCAAATCAGAATTACTAAAAATGCAAACCGTATTATTTTCAAAAATTACTTTTAAACCTGAATTTTCTAGTTTTTGGACAGACAATAAATTCTGGCGCAAATTTTTTACATACAGCACATCTTTAATCTCACCTGAAGTTATTCTTTGCCCAACTAATTTTACATTAACTACTCCTACCTTGGTAGCACTCAGCGATTCATTATTCTTAGCAACAGCAATCTGAAGTTCCCCTTCTAAATCTTTTACCTTGCAAAAGTATCCATCCTGATTGATCATATGGTCTGTTGCTCCTGAGTCAACAACAAACTTGATTTTGTTATTTTGGAATGGCATATCTGGAACACAATTCAAGGCTATTCCTGCGGTTGCTATGAAGGCAATGTGCTCATCTTTTTGATTTTCGGTTGAGGCTTCATTTGCTTGCTTTCTGGCTTCACCTTGATTTAATAACCAACACTGTTTTCTAAAATGGCCTTTTTTTCCACAATGATGACAACTATACTTCTTTTTTTGTTCACCACTAGCATGTGGATTTTTCTGGTTATTAAATTTATTCCATTTTTTGTTGCTGTTATTAAACCCACTAAATGCTGCCACAGAAGATGGATCTTCTCTTTGTAGGTTATTTATACTTTTCTTTTTCATTTCTTGATCTAAAAGTTTGCCTTTGACAAATTCCAATGTTAGTTTATCTTGTTCCAAAGTTTCTAGGGCAGTGACAATATTATCATAGCTGGGGGGTAACGATAAAAGCAAATGGCACACTATATCTGTTTCTTCAAGTGTTGCTCCTACTGATTTTAACTCCCTCACAGTTTCCTCAAATTTTATAAAATGGTTTTCCAGTGTCTCACCTTTTTCTAACTTCATTGTTAGCAATTTTCTTCTTAAGTAGAGCTGGCTTGCAATGCCCTTCCGGTGAAACACTTTCTCAAGTGCCAGCCACATATCACGAGACGTTGGCTTATCTTTTATGTACTCCAAGTGCGAATTGGCGACGCACTGTACAATAATGTTTTTACATCTCTTGTCTAGCTTCACTTCATCTTGTGAGTTTTGATCTATGGCCCGTTCCACACACATTTTAACCCCATTGTGATCAAGCACAGTTTCTATTCGGAATTTCCAATGGTCATAGTCTTTACCATCAAACTGATGTATTCCAAACTTTTCAACGGCGTAATTATTTCCTGAGCTTGAGGCCATCTTCCACACAAAACAAAAGTTTAGTTACTTAATTCCAAACTTAGCACAATTTGGTTTCTGCAGCCCATAACCTGATGGATTCTTTGAAAGTGGAAGCACCAAATATAAGTTTGTGAATATCAATAAAAAGCACTACTACACTTTGAACAACGTTTTATTGATTAATATAAGAAAACTAAACTCAGCTTGACATTAAATTGGTTAAATAATTACAGCCACTTTACAGCCAAAACGTGGACTTACTTAAACAACAGAAAAAACAAAAACAAACAACGGCTGACCTTACAACATAACCACACATTATATTATTGACACCTTAGACAAGGACAGGACCGAACTTAACTTGGAGTACTCTAGACTCTATAGAACATGTCTTTTGATTGCAAATCCAAAATTTCGTAAAATTTTAATTTTTTTTTGATTTTTCAAATTTTTTTAAGATCTTAGTAAATTTTTATGATACATATCTCTCATTTTCGAAATTTTGCAATTTTCCAAAATTTATGATTTTCGTGATTTTTTTGGAATCTTCACTTTTTTGATATTTTGGGTTTTTTCAACCTATTTGAATTTTTCCTTTTTTTGGGCTTTTTTGGATTTCTTCTTACTTTTTGCGTTTTTTACAGTTTTTTTGACGTTTTTGAACTATTCCAACTTTGTTTTTTTTGTTTTTGATTTACTCAGTTTTTTTGTATTTTTTGCCTTTTTCAAACTTTTTGAATTTTTCCGACATTTTTGGGTTTTCTTTCAGAGTTGTTCAACTTTTTTGTTGAATGTGTTTTTTTCAATTATTCAAATTTGTCTCGTCTTTTTAAATTGTTTCATCTTATTCATCTCTTTTGAATTTTTTTAATCACTTTTCAGTTTTTTGATTTTTTTGCGTTTTTATAGTTTTTTTGACCTTTTTTAATTTTTTGTGGTTTTTCCACTTTTAATATTTTTCACGTTCTTTAAATTTTTAAATTTTTTTAAATTTTTTGGAATTTGTTTCTATGTTCAAACATCAGTGAAAAACTGTCAAAAAAGTTGACAAAACTCAAAAAGTTGCAAAAAAAAGTTGAAAAATCCATAAAATAAAAATTTTAATGAATTAAAAAAAAAACCATTGAGACTTAATGGAATTCAAAAAAAAGTCCTAAAAAGATAAAAAAATATTAAAATCCAAAAAAAAAAAATAGTAAAACTTGAAAAAGTTGAAAAAACCCGAAAAAATCATTTCTAAATCGATAATTATTATTGATACGTATATTTATTGTCAGAAATCTATCATTTTCGATAATCGAACTCATATTTGAATGAAGGTTCATTCATTCATTTATCAAGTTTTTTAATTTTTTCGAGATTTTTCTATTCTCTTGAGTTTTTTCGACTGTTCTAGTTTTTTTTTTCCATTTTTGTTGGTGTTTTTTCAACTTTTTTGGTTTTTTAAATTTTTTTCAACCATGTATTCTAGGTTTTTTTAAGTTGTTTCAAATTTGAGTATCTCAGCTTTTTTCACTTATCCCAACTTTCTTAAATTCCTTCAGTTTTTTGGAGTATTTTAATTTTTTTTATTATTTTTGATTTTTATTCAAATTTAATTTTTTTTTTTTTAGGTTTTTTATAATTTTTTTAGGTTTTTTCAACTTATTTGCGTTTTTTTCAATTTTTGTATTTTTTTTTTCGAGTTTTTTTAGCTTTTTTTTAAAACTTTTTTACGTTTTTCTAAGTTTTTTCAATTTTGTAATTTTTTTTTTTAATTTGCCTTTTTTGAAGTTTTTCAATTTTTTTAGATATTTCTGCTTTTCTTTAACTTATTGGCATTAAAAATTCAAAAAATTATACAAAACCCAGAAAAACCTAACAAAAAAGCTAAAAAAAAAAAACCAGAATAAGTTGAAAACAGTCAGAAAAACCTAAAAAATTTAATACAATCCAAAAAAGTTGAAAAAAAAACTCAGAAAAGTGTAGAAAAACTTGAAAGTTGAGAAAAAAAAAGTAGAAAAAAAAATTTAAAAATAAGGAAAAAAAAAACTAAAAAAGTTAAAATATCGCATAGGTTTAAGTTGAAAAACCGTAAAAAAAAATAAAAAAACTTGAAAGTATGTATTCAAAAAAAACCTAAATTTGAAAATTGAAAAAACCCAAAATAAATATTTGAAAAAGTCCAAAAAAATCTAAAGAAAACTCAAAAAAAAAAAAATATAAAGAAGTTGAGAAAAACTAGAAAAGTAGAATACCTTCAAAAAAGTTGAAAAAAAAAACTGAAAAAAGTTAGAACAAACCCAAAAACAGCTAATGCATTGAAAATATTAAAAACCCCAAATTTCCGAAAAATTCCAAAAAACACCAAATGCCAAAACATTTTAAAAACCAATAAAAATACCAAATTTCAAGATGCAAAAAATTCCGAAAAGTTTCAGAAAATTGCAAAGAAATCAAAAATTCCAAAAAATACCAAAAAACTCCAAATTTCAAAAATTGCTATGAAATGCTGAAAAATCCAAAAATCACAAAAATTTTAAAAAATGCCAAAAAATACCAAAAAAATTCAAAAACACTAAATTCCAAAATATACCAAAAAATGCCAAAAGATTCCAAAAAATTTTAAAAAATGCCAAAAAACAGTAAAAACTCCGAATTACAATTGAAATTTTTTGGAATTTTCCAGAACGTTTTGATCTTTTTTTTGGAAATTTGTCGATTTTTGGCATTTTTGGAAATTTGGTAATTTTTAGATTTTTTTAGCATTTTCTTGGAAATTGGTGTTTTTTGGATTTTTTTTTTGGTATTTTTTGGAATTTGACGTTTTTTGGTATATTTTGAAATTTTTTTGGTTTCTTGGAAATTTCCTGGAGTTTTTCGAAATGTAGTGTTTTTACTGTTTTTTGAAATTTTTTGGCATTTTTTAAAATTTCTTATTAAAACACTAAATTTTAAAAAATTTCGAAAAATTCCAAATAATTTCAAAAAAAAATACACTTAATGAGCACATAAAAAATCCATTTATTTATGTGGAACTAACAAAGACGAAACAAATATTTGATATTTTTTCAAATCAAGGTTTAAAAATTAATTTTTTTTTTCCAGATTTGATGAATAACAATGACAAGTGACAAGTTTGACATTTCTAGAATCGCCAAATCAAATCTGATGATTTTTATTCTAATTGAGGTGAGTTAATTTTTTTTTTTTAATAAATTTTGATGGAAATAAGAAATATTTTTTTATGATAAGATAATTAAGTGTAGAAGATATTTTGAAAAATGATAAAATGTCACTGTTTGTTGCCAAAAGGATTCTGACAATTGTCACGTGTCATTTTTTTCTACCTTTGACATTTTGACAGCTTTTTAATGATGGTTTTTCTTTTCTAGAAAGTGCCTTTTATACTGATCTACAGAGGAGGCATATCATTTTTGGTAAGATAAAGTCATTTTATTTAATATTTGTATATCTATTTCTTAAGTTCATAATAAATAAATCAAAACAAAAAGAAATCTAACAAAATTTTAAAAAATTTACGAAAAAAAAAAAAGAAAAAACAAAAAGAATATAATGTGTTTTGAATGGAACAATCTTTTCTTGAGAATTGTCAATCCAAAGCTAGGGTGGATCTTACCTATTTGGTTTTCAATCCAGCAGAGGACTCCATATGTGGCTTTGTTCAATTTAATAAATGGCTTCTTGGAGAAAAATAAACATACTTTTGCATTTATACAAAATTTCAAATAAAATTGTTATTTATTATAATATTGATAAATATCAAAAGAATTAATTCTGAAATTGACAAATATCAATAGAATTAATCCTAATTTCTTAACTAAAAAACAATTATTAGAATACACTTCTTAATGCCAATACATAATCACCTTTTTAACATGTTGCACTCTGCAAATATTTCGCTTTCTGTATGCAATGGGAATTTAGGTTGAGGTTGGAAGGCGATACTGGGAAACTTCACAAAACAGTGCTCTTTTCAATCATGGGGTAATTCTTCGTGCAATTAGGGCCAATTGGGTGTTGTGCATTTTGCGCAGCTTTCGCCTTCAGTGAGAGCGTTGGGAGCTTTTTCAAAAAAACTTCTTACTTTTTTTATTAATTTTTTATACTCTGGTTAACAACGAATCAACAACGGGCTATAGTAACTAGAAAAACAAAAAAAAATCGCCGAAAAACACCAGCATGACCATTCACGCCATGCTTGTTTTTTCGTGACAGAATGCAAAGAATGTAATGAAAATATAAACGTGAACGCCCTCTATTATTAGGAAAGAAAATTATGCAATGGCATCTTCTTTTTCAAATATTTCAAAATAGTTGCGGATGTTTCCGCAACATACTCCCGCACTTTGAAGTCACCAACTTCAACAATTCAAAAATTCAACAAGAACAACATTCGATGATGATAACATCAGACTCATCAGAACTCAGAACCACATCAGCCATATGATATAAAAACAAACTACATAAGAACAAGAACTAATTCTTTACAAACTAAAAGCAAGTAGATATATAAAAAATAACATATTTAAGGCAGGGTTAGATTATGACATTCAAATTTCATTTCAGGGGGATCCTCTTGGGGTAAAGGACAAACCTTTGCAATGCTACGAGTATATATCCCATCTTGGGTTTTAAGTTTAACAACTCGTACTTTATTGTCTTTACCAGGGATAACTTCCAACACTCTAGCTAGAGGCCATTTTAAAGGAGGGGTATCATCATCTCTCAGAAGAACTATTGAGCCTGGTTTCAGATTTTCAGACTCTCGAAACCACTTGGGTCGGTGTTGGAGTCGATTCAGATAATCAACTCTCCACCTTTTCCAGAAAACTTGCTGAATTTGGACAATTCTTTGCCAGTAAGAGAGTCTGTTTTCAGGAGAACTTTCTAAATTTCTTTCAGGATGAGCAGTCAAACTAGTTCCAATCAAAAAATGACCAGGAGTAAGAGCCTGGAAATCATTGGGGTCATTAGAGAGAGGGCAGAGAGGCCGTGAATTTAAAATGGCTTCGATTGACGTTAATATGGTGTAGAATTGCTCAAAAGTAAGGCGAGCTTCTCCAACTAAACGATGAAGATGGTATTTGGTGCTTTTCACAGCAGCCTCCCAAATACCACCCCAATGGGGGCTTCTTGGAGTAATAAACTTAAATTTGATTTCATTTTGAGCAGAAAAATCTTTTATAGAATCTAAGACACTCTTGGTTTTGAAAAAATCATACAACTCCCTTAGCTGGTTTCTTGCACCAACAAAATTAGTTGCGTTGTCACTATAAATTAATTCAGGATTTCCTCTGCGAGCAATAAATCTTTTGAGGGTCATAATAAAAGCTTCTGTTGATAAGCTGGTTACCAACTCTAAATTTGTGATCATGCACACAAACACTGCTATATAGACCTTGATAATCGGGGCTTTACGTAAGTTTGAAGATTTTAAAAGGAAGGGGCCTCCATAGTCTATACCAACTCTATTGAAACACCTGGTTTCCTGGACTCTTTCCTTGGGCAAATCTCCCATTATCTGAGTTGTGGGTTGAGCTCTGAACTTGAAACAAATATGACAATTCCTAATAATCCTTTTGACTTCCCGTAAACCATTTAAAGGCCAAAACTTTAATCTGAAATTAGACAAAACAGTTTGAGCTCCTGAATGTCCTAACCGTAGGTGTTCTAATTTTAACATCAAAGAGACGATATAATTTCTAGAGGGCAAAAGAATAGGGTGTTTCTGATCAAAAGATATGTTGGCATTCTCAAGTCTACCACCTACTCGTACAATACCATCCATATCAAGGAAGGGCTTGAGCTGGGCCAACTGTTTATTGGAAAGAGCTTTACCTTTACTGAGGTCTTGAATTTCTTTTGAGAAGTGGAGTGATTGAAGAACTTTAACTATCAAATCTTTTGCTTTCCTCAATTCATTGACTTCAAGAGGACCAACGATTTTATTATCTTTGTTTCCAACATTGTGAACAAATCTTAATATAAATGAAACGTGACGTTGTAATTTTGAAAATTGTGAAAATTTGAGAAATAATTTTGACCAGAAATCATTCTGGAAGAACACATGCAAAGTGACAGTAGGTTTTTTCTTTTGTTCAGGGAGGTCATCGATTTTCGAAACATTTCCAAACGATTTTTCTGAGAGTCTTAACTTCATATCAAGCAAGAAAGAGGGGCCTTTCCACCATAAGTCTAAATTGATAACATCCTGTATTGGGACACCACCAGAGGGCAAATCAGCTGGATTGTCAGCGGATTTGACATGTCTCCAAATACATTCCTTTGTAAGATCTTGTATTTGTGCTACACGGTTAGCAACAAATACATTCCAACGAGAAGCATGAGAATTCACCCAGCATAGAGCTACTTGTGAGTCAGACCAAAGATTTACAGAATCAACCTTAAAACGACCATCGAAAACTGATAGTAGTTTTCTAACCAATTGGGAGAGCAACAGCATAGCACATAACTCCAAACGTGGAAGAGAGACAGTTTTGATAGGGCAATCCTAGATTTTGAAGAGAGAAGGGTGCAAGATACAGCACTATCTATGTATATTACTCTAATGTAAACACATGCTGCATAGGCTTGCATACTTGCGTCTGAAAAACCATGAAATTCAATTTGTTTAATTTTCTTTTCCAAAAATAAATATCTGGGTATTTTCAGATTTTTGAGCAGAGGTAAATTTTCAATAAAATGAGTCCAATTTTGTATAATTGACATGTCAGTAATGGGACTATCCCAATCTAGTTTCAACATCCAGAGCTTCTGAATAATCAATTTCCCAGAAACTATAACCAATGATAAAAAACTAAGGGGGTCATAGCACTGAGCCAAAGTAGATAATATTTTTTTTTTTGTGATTGGCGGTGTGAAGGAACTTTCAGGGATTGAGACACAGAAAAAATCAACAAAGGGGTTCCATTTCAATCCTAAAACTTTACTTGGAAAATCATCAAAATTAAGATTTCGTTCAGGAATTTTCTCTTGGGAAATTTTGTCAAAAAAATTGCTTGAATTTGAACACCATTTGTGTAACTGAAAACCATGAGTATTTAAAAGAGTATTTAATTGAGTATATAGAGTTTCCAAGTCTGAGTAATTATCAACACCTTCAAGACAATCATCTACATAGGTCATTTTCAAGAGAGCTTCAGAAGCTAGAGGATTTTGAATGACATTATTTTGAGCTATTTCATGCAAAACTCTTGTTGCAAGAAAAGGGGCACAATTAGTGCCATAGGTGACAGTTGAGAGTTCAAAACATTTCAGAGTTTCCTGAGGACTATTCCTCCATAAAATGTTCAAGAGGTATCTTTGTTCTGGATTTATCAGAATTTGTCTATACATTTTCTGTATATCAGAGGTGAGCACATATTTGAAAGAGCGAAAACGACAGAGTATGTCATAGAGGTCTGGCTGAACCTGATAGCCTTTAAGAGTGACATCATTTAAAGAATATCCTGAAGAAGTTTTACATGAGGCATCGAATACTACACGCAGTTTTGTAGTGACGCTATCCTCCTTTATAACTGCGTGATGGGGCAGAAAATACTTAAGTTGTGAGTAGCAGTTTGTCAAAATGAGAGGAACAAACCTTCCATGTCCGAGGCTTTCATACTCGTCAATGAAATTTTTATAATCAGAAAAATACCTTTTGTCCTTAGCAAATCTTTTTTCAAGATTGAAAAATCTTTTCCTTGCCATGGAAAAAGAATCACCAAGCTTCAAATTTTCTTTAGGAGATTTTAAGGGTAAGTCTACTTGAAAAACACCATTTTCCAATATCTTTGTGCTTTTCATGAATAGACTTTCTGCCTCTTCATCTTCAAAAGAACGCGGAATATTTGGGGAAATGTCCTCAAGTTTCCAAAATCTAGAGACCATTTTTTCAAGAGGGGTTTCGTCGAGGGTTTCATTTTTGGTTTGAGCTATAAGAGAAACACTTAAATGTGACATCAACATATTATCTTGAGATACATTAAGAGAGAAAGGACCACCAATGACCCATCCAAGGTAAGTATTGAGTAGTATAGGGAGGTTTTTTCCTAACCGAACTATACCATTAGCCAATAATTCATAATACACATCAGCACCCAGCAACAAATCTACATCTGAAGGGGTAGAGAAAGAGACATCTGCAAGAGGCAAATTTGAGGGTATATTCCAAGAGTCCGTATTTATTTTGTTTTGGGGTAATTTACAAGTGATTTCTGTTAATATTGCACAGGAAACTTTGAACTTTCTGTGAGAGTACACATTTGAGTAGAGCGTTACATCAACCATTTTATTTGAAATGCTATTGCTCAGTGCAATACCTGAAACAGAAGTTGTTTTAGTATAGGAAATGTAATTTAATTTGTTGACGAGTTTGTGAGTGACAAAAGAATTTTGAGAGCCATTATCCAAAATTGCTTTAGCTTGTATACAATTTCCCTGGCCATCATAAAGAGAGACACAAGCAGTAGCTAATAAAACGTGGTTATTTCTAGTAGAAGCTGACAGAGATAGAGAGTCTTGCGAAAGTGCACTAGAGTTGCACGAAGAATTACCTTTGGAAGATTTAGGAATAGCACCATTTTGTGAGGGGGACAAAAATCCATTGTTTTCACTTAATCGAGTTTGACTGTTACATTTATTTTTATCAAATTTAGGCGGGTTATTATTAGAGACATTTTGAGCACCTTCTACCCGAGCTTCTAGTCTGTTATTTTGATGAGAGTGCAACATGCTATGGTGTTTCTTAGAGCAAAAAGAACAAACGTTAGTAGATGAGCACTGAGCCACTGCATGAGCAGTTCCCAGACAGTTATAACACAGTTTTTTAGAACCTACAAAGTTTCTCTTGTCTGCAATAGATGCATTTTTGAATTTGTTACAAGAATAAATTTTATGAGTATTTTCATTGCAATAAGAACACTTTGCATGTTCACTGTTTTGGGATGCGAATGCATGAAGAGAGGTTTTTAACTGAGGTTTTGTGAATTTCGGTGTAAATTGTACACCCGTACTATTTAAGTTTTCCAACACTATACATCTTTTTTCTAAAAATTCAAAAAATTCTGAAAGTTGAGGTAATTCATCCACATTTCTCTCAGTTTCAAAGGCTCTTCTTGTACCAAAATCTATCTTTTTTCCTAACAAATATAACAAGATAAAGTCTAACAATTGTTCACATGAATAATTTAAATTATACAACGAGTCTAAATTTCTCTTACAATTGGTTGAAAATTCCCTGAGAGTTGTTGAGGTGCATTTTGTGAGTGAAAGCACTTCCAAGAGAGACACTAAAAGAGTATTTATTACAAAAAGCTTATTTTCGTATCGTTTCTGCAGAATTTCTAAGGCTGTATCAAAATTATCATTTATAACTATTAAATTTTCAATTAATTTTAATGGTTCATCCCGCAAAAATGACTTCAGATAAATAAATTTCTGTATTTTTGAGAGGCTCTGATTTTGAATTATTAAAGCATCAAAAATTTGATAAAAAGGTAGCCATTCTGAAATATCACCTTTGAATGGTTTGATATGAATGTCAGGTAATTTCACATCAATTTTAGGAGAAGGGGCCACAATAGTTTGTTGTACAGGGTGTGCATTAACGCTTGGGGGAAAGGGAGAAAAACATAATTTTTTAATTTTATCTTTGATAATACCACACTTTTGATGAACAGAGTTTTCAATGAAATCACGATCCTCATTATCAAGGGTTTCATCAGCAGGAAGAGCATCTATCCTGTCTTGTATATTTTCATATGCATGAAAAGTATTTTTTAAATAGTCATACTTTTCTGAGAGCTCTCCTACTTCAGCCTTATCTGCTGTTTGGAGCCAATTATTAACTCTTGTTATTTTACCCTTGATAATGGTTCCTTGTATTTTCAATTGACTATAATCTAAATCTAAAAAATTTTCAGGAAAGTTAGACATTTTAAAATGTTTATCAATGTTCAACTGCTTACCACTTTTTTCAGGTTACCACAAGATTCACCAAGTACTCACACATTTTCCATAAGTCTCTGAGTACTTCTTGGAGTTGAGTTCAAAGTTCTATTGCTTGTCAATAGAATAAGGCACACACAAGTCAATGGTATAACACAGCAAAATGTTCAAGATTCTCTCCAAACTTATGCCATCCGGCTCGAAGGACCAATGTTTTGAATGGAACAATCTTTTCTTGAGAATTGTCAATCCAAAGCTAGGGTGGATCTTACCTATTTGGTTTTCAATCCAGCAGAGGACTCCATATGTGGCTTTGTTCAATTTAATAAATGGCTTCTTGGAGAAAAATAAACATACTTTTGCATTTATACAAAATTTCAAATAAAATTGTTATTTATTATAATATTGATAAATATCAAAAGAATTCATTCTGAATTTGACAAATATCAATAGAATTAATCCTAATTTCTTAACTAAAAAACAATTATTAGAATACACTTCTTAATGCCAATACATAATCACCTTTTTAACATGTTGCACTCTGCAAATATTTCGCTTTCTGTATGCAATGGAAATTTAGGTTGAGGTTGGAAGGCGATACTGGGAAACTTCACAAAACAGTGCTCTTTTCAATCATGAGGTAATTCTTCGTGCAATTGGGTGTTGTGCATTTTGCGCAGCTTTCGCCTTCAGTGAGAGCGTTGGGAGCTTTTTCAAAAAAACTTCTTACTTTTTTTTATTAATTTTTTATACTCTGGTTAACAACGAATCAACAACGGGCTATAGTAACTAGAAAAACAAAAAAATCGCCGAAAAACACCAGCATGACCATCCACGCCATGCTTGTTTTTTCGTGACAGAATGCAAAGAACGTAATGAAAATACAAACGTGAACGCCCTCTATTATTAGGAAAGAAAATTATGCAATGGCATCTTCTTTTTCAAATATTTCAAAATAGTTGCGGATGTTTCCGCAACATAATGATTAAAAAATTAAAAAATAAATAAAACATTGATAAAAAAAAAAGTATAATAAAAATGAAATTTAAAAAAATTAATATCAAAAGTAAATAAAAAAAAAAAAAAATCATGATGACAAGTTATTACCGCCCCAGTCTGAACTCACTGTGATTGATTGGTTTCATTTTAAACTGAACCTTCAAAAGTCACTCCAATACCTGTCAAAATTGAGATACCCGTTTTTTCTAACCCCACTTTTATTTATTTCAGAATCAGAATGCAAAAAGGGATTTATTTTTCAAAAATTCCAGGAAGAAAAAAAAAGGTAAAAAATTACTTTTATTTTAATTATTTATGTCCAGCATTAAATCCCATGCAAAGTTGATTTATATTAAAAATTTCTCTGCGCTGAAATGCTGGTAAATTGAAGGTACCTGTATTATCCTCCGGGCTTTTTGAAAATTCCGTGGAAGTTTTCGGTTGGAAACGCAGGTTACAATTTTTAAAATTTTCATAATTTTTTTGATTTCCGTAAATTTATATGATTTTTGTAAATTTGTATAGTTTTTGTGATTTTCGTAAATTTTTGTGATTTTTATAAATTTTAATGATTTTCATAAATTTTTGTGATTTTCGTAATTTTTTGTGATTTTTCAAAATTTCGTAATATTTTAATTTTTTTTTGATTTTTCAAATTTTTTTAAGATCTTAGTAAATTTTTATGATACATATCTCTCATTTTCGAAATTTTGCAATTTTCTAAAATTTATGATTTTCGTGATTTTTTTGGAATCTTCACTTTTTTGACATTTTGGGTTTTTTTAACCTATTTGAATTTTTCCTTTTTTTGGGCTTTTTTGTATTCCTTCTTATTTTTGGCGTTTTTTACATTGTTTCATCTTATTCATCTCTTTTGAATTTTTTCAATCACTTTTCATTTTTTTGAATTTTTTTTATTTTTTTGGGGTTTTATAGTTTTTTTTTTTAATTTTTTTCACGTTCTTTAAATTTTTTGCGCTTATTAAATTTTTTGGAATTTTTCACTAAAGATTTTTTGATTTTTTTTGAATTTATGTTTCTTTGTCTAAACATCAGTAAACAAATCTCAAAAAAGTTGAGAAAACTTAAAAAACTCCAACAAAAGTTGAAAAATCCATAAAATAAAAACTTTAGAAAATTGAAAAAACCATTAAGACTTATGGAATTCGCAAAAAAGTCCAAAAAAGATTAAAAAATTTTAAAATCTGAAAATATTGAAAAACCTAAAAAAATAGAAAAAGCTTGAAAAAGTTGAAGAAAAAAAAACAAAAAAATTGAAAAATACCCCAAAAAAAAAATAAGTAAATTTCAAAAATTCGAAAAAACCCGAAAAAATTATTTCTAAATCGATACGTAGGTAATATTTTGATACGTATCGATTTTAAAAAAAATATCGATTTTGAAATAGCAATTATTGTAAATTTTTTACTAGAAATCTGTCGATAATGAATGTTATTATCAAGTTTTTTAATTTTTTTGAGATTATTCTACTCTTTTGAGTTTTTTCGACTGTTTTAGTTTTTTTTTTCACTTGATTTTTTTCAACGCAGTATTTTTTTAACTTTTTCAATTTTTTTTGGATTTTCTTTTTTTCAAATTTTTTTGGTTTTTTTTTAAACTTTTTTCAGCTTTTTCAATTTTTTTGGGTTTTTTCAAGTGGTAGATTTTATTTAATTTTTTTCAACCATGTTTCTAGGTTTTTTTCAAATTTTTCAAATTTTTTGAGTATATTCAGCTTTTTTAACTTATTTCAACTTTCTTAAATTCCTTCAATTTTTTGATTTTTTTTATTTTTTTTTTTTGATTTTTTTTAACTTGTTAAGTTTAAAGTTGTTTGTATTGTAACTTATTTGCGTTTTTTCAATTTTTGTAATTTTGTTTTTTTTTTTTTCCTAGTTTTTTTAGCTTTTTTTCAACTTTTTTAGGTTTTTTTCAAATTTGTATTTTTTTTTTTTTTGAGTCGAAATAAGAAATAAGTTGAAAAATTGACATAATTTGACATTTTCAACAATTTTTTTCTTTATTGAAATGTTTGTCAGTTTTTATATTTGTCGACATTTTTGGCAGTTTTTTTTATTCATTGACATTTTTGACAGTTTTTTTTTTTATTTATTGACAAATTTATTTGACATTTTTGTTGTTAACATTTGAAAATTTTGAAATTTTACATTTACATATTTCATTCAATAACAGTTTGATAGTTGTTTTGTTTGTTGACATTTTTAGCAATTATTTTGTTTATTGACACTTTTGACAGTTTTTTTTTTCAATAACATTTTTAATACATAGTATGTAAATGAAAAAAAAATTGTCAAAAATATCAATAATTGAAAAAAATTGTCAAAAAAGTCAATGAACAAAGAACTGTCAAAAATGTCAAACAAAAAAATTGTCAAAAGCGTTGATAAATAGAAAAAAAGTAGCAGAAATGTCAATAAACAGAAAAAACTGTCAAATATTTCAAAAATAAGTTCCCTGTATTTCTAACCTCACTTTTATTTATTCCAGAATCAAGATGCAAAAAAGGGCATTTTGTGTTAACTTCTAGAAAGAAAAAAAAAAGGTAAGAAAATTTTATTATCAATTATTTTTTTATGTCCAGTATTAAATCCCATGCAAAGTTGATTTATGTTGAAAATTTCTCTGCGCTGAAATGCTGGTAAATTGAAGATTCCTGTATTATCCTCCGGGCTTTTTGAATATTCTGTGGAAGTTTTCGGTTGGAAACGCAGGATACAATAAGTTATGGTCGATAACTTTCATGATGATTATGAATTTTTAGGAATTTTAAATTTTTTTATAATTTTTATGAATTTTCTAGTTTTTGTAATTTTTCGGATTTTCGTGGTTTTTGTTAACTTTTATGATCTCCTTTATTTTTGTCATTTTTGTCTTAAATTTCTATGATTTACATAATTTTTGTAATTTTCAGAAATTTCTGATTATCATAAATTTCCATGATTTTTAGGAATAATCATGATTTTCCTTATTTTTGTGATTTTCGTAAATTTTAAAGATTTTCCTACATTTTTGTTGTATGATTATCGTGAATTTCTATGATATTTGTAAATTTTTATAATTTTCATTATTTTCGTAAATTTTTGTATTTTTTTTAAATCTATAAATTTTAATGATTTTTGTAAATTTCGTATGTTTTTTATAATTATTGTATTTTTTATGATTTTCATAGATTTTTATGATTTTCCTAAATTTAAGTAAATTTTTATGATATTTTGTTTAATTTATAATTTTTGTGATTTTCGTAAATTTTTATGATTTAGCGAAAATAACAAAAAAAAAGAAAAATACAAAAACATAAATTTTAGAAAATTAAATTAATGGAAATCTTCGAAAATTTGGAAAATCAGAAAATATTACAAAAATTATAAAAACATGCTTATGAATGAAATCCTTTTAAATAAAAGAATCACAAAAATAATAGAAACTTACAAAAATCATGTAAATTTACGAAAATCCCAAAAATATACGAATATCATAAAAACATAAAAGCATGTAAATTTACGAAAATTATAAAAATTTACCAAAATTATGCAAATTTGAAAAAATTACGAAAATTATTAGAGTAAAAATTAGCGAAAATCAAAAAATAAAAATCACAAAAATCTTAAATCATAAAAAATCAAATTTATGGAAATTTTAAAAAATTTGGAAAATCAGAAAAAAATCCTGTAAATCAACGAAAATTATTAGAGAATTAGCGAAAATTAAAAAAAAAAAAATCATGAAAATTATAGATTTTAGAAAATCACAAAAAATTGCGAAAATTATAAAAATTTACTGAAATCCTAAGAAATTTGGAAAATCAAACAAAATTATAAAAATCATAATTCAAAAAAATCACAAAAATTTACAAAAATTCACGAAAATCAAATAAAATACGAAAATTACAAAAATCATACGAAATTCAGAAAATTTATGAAAATCACAAAAAAAATGTGTATTTATGACAATTAAAAAATTTAGAAAAATTATATGAAATTTAAAAAAATGATATAATTTATAAAAATCACAAAAAAAAATATGTTATTACGACAATTACAAAAATTATACGAAAATCATAAAATAAAAATTTATGAAAATCCCAAAAATTATAAAAAAAAAATTGTAGTTTTCGTAAATTCGATTTTTTTGCTGAAATGCTGGTAAATTGAAGGTTCCTGCATTATCGTCCGGGCTTTTTCAAAATTTCGTGTAAGTTTTCGGTTGGAAACGCAGATTACAATTTTTGAAATTTTCGTAATTTTTATAATTTTCATGATTTTCGTAAATTTCGTAAACATTAATGATATTCGTATTCGTATAATATTAGTGATATTCGTATTTTTTCTTTGGTTTTCCAAATTTTTCAAGATTCTTGACATTCTGATAAATTTTTATGATACGTGTATCCCTGAATTTCTGTGATTTTTATGATTTTTGTTAATTTTTGTGATTTCGTAAATTTTCATAATTTTCGTGATTTTTTGGTATTCTTGTAAATTTTTATGATTTTCATTATTTTTTGTGATTTTCCAAAATTGCGTAAACTTTTAATTTTTTTTTTGATTTCCTAAATTTTTTAAGATCTTAGTAAATTTTTATGATACATACATATCTCTCATTTTCGAAATTTTGCAATTTTCTAAAATTTATGATTTTCGTGATTTTTTTTTGAATTTGGTAGTTTTTTCAACTTTTCTAGATTTTTTTCTCAACTTTTATGAGTTTGGTCAAATAATATTATAGTTAACTATAGAAAACCTACGCTTATGGGCGACGGCAGACCGCTAGAGGCGCTGCTCCGGTGTTATAAATTAAAATAAATTATATTCGCGCTAGCTTTTCGGCAAACAAATTTTAACAGCGTTGCGCGATTCTCTCGGGCATTTAATATATTTTCTGTGATTTTACCTTGTAAGATGATATTTTACATCGACATATTAGATGATACCTAGTTGCTACGTCTAATTTGCTGTATAAATAGAAAATATATAAACTAAAACAAAATTATGCTCTGCGTGAGATAGGGAATGTTGAGTGGAGTCATTTTTGAAGTGAAAACTTCTTTAGAATCGTTGGGAGTGATGGGATGGGAGACTCGATGAAACGAAAAAGCGACCCGATGAAACTAAACGAAAAAGCAACACTTTTTTAACACGCTTATATTAATACAAACACACAACACACAACAGGAACCTGGAACAAGCCAAGTGAGCTGGAACAAGTCTGGATAAATCTGGATGAAGTCTGGAAAAGTCTGGAAATCTCTGGAAACGTCTGGAAAGAGCCTGGAAATTTCTGGAAAGGGTCGGAAAAATTCTGCCAAAGGTCCCAAAAGACCTGGAGATCATTTTCCAGAATTCGGATCAGTCTGTACAAGTCTGGATAGGGTCTGGATAAATCTGGATAAAGTCTGTAAAACTCTGGATAAGTCTGGTTATTGTCTGGAAAAATCTAGAAATTTCTGGAAACGTCTGGAAAAGACTTGGAAATTTTTGGAAAGGGTTGGAAAAAATCTGAAAAAGGTTCCAAAAGATCTGGGGATCATTTTCCAGAATCCGGATCAGTCTGAACAAGTCTGGATTTATCGGGATGAAGTCTAGAAAACTCTGGAAACGTCTGGAAAATGCCTGGAAATTTCTTGGAAGGGTCGGAAAAATTCTGAAAAAGGTTCCAAAAGACCTGGGAATCATTTTCCAGAATCCGGATCAGTCTGTACAAGTCTGGATAAATCTGGATGAAATCTGGAAAACTCTGGAAAGCCCTGAATAAGTCTGAATAATGTCTGGAAAAGTCTGGAAATATCTGGGGCTAACACGCTTTTGATACATCGAAATAAAAAGTGAAAAATAATTTTTAATATAAACAGAAAATATTGATGAACAAAAAATATTAAAATTATTGTCAAAAAAGCGTGGGGTGCTCAATGTATGAGAAATGTGGAACCAAACACCCCAGCGTGTATTTTAGTTTTTTTAAACTATATTTATTTGCGTTCTTTCTCAAGTCTTTTGGAGGGGGGGACGCCACTGTCTATGTTAGTATGTGTGTAAAGCCTCATTTACACGGTGCAAGTAGCTTGAGCAAGTACTAACGCCAGTAACTAAATTATCTTTGTTTTCGTGCAAGTGGGTGTTTACATGCATTTTACTGATTTTAAGTCGAATTTCGTGATTAGTGCAAATTGAGGTGAAATGGCAGCAAGTACAGTTGTTCGAAAACAAATTTAAAAATGCATTTTGAGTGTTTATGGAGAATTATCACACATTTTATTGAAAGAAATTGAAAATGGAAAACTTTGTTGGGTTCGACCATGGATATCTCGTAGAGAAACACATGGTGCATCTTCCACATTATTGGTTGAAATTGTATGCGGATAACAAAAGAACAATTCAATAAGTTAACTTTTCGAAATAAAACCCATGATTAGCACACAAGATACTGTAATGAGACCTGCTATTCCAGTAAAAATTACATTGGAAATTACACTATCATATCTGGCAACAGGAAGCAGTTACAGACGACATTGCAAAGGCAACTAATAGGTGCAAGGTGCAACACAATACTCAAAATATTCAAATTCAAACCCCACTAATGTACTTCACTAATCACTAAATACAAATCCTGTCAACACACGTCCGGCCCGCTAAAGTCAGTAAAATAAACGAGAGGGGGAAGCCACTTGCTCAAGTAAATAGAACCAGCTTCTATTCACTTGACTAATTACTTGACTAAAGCGTTTACTTGCTCAAGTACTAAATTAAAGTGTCTACACGATTCAAGTTACTAAATTTTAGTTATTGGCGTTAGTACTTGCTCAAGCTACTTGCACCGTGTAAATGAGGCTTAATGCATGCAGTTCGATGAAGGTTTCACTTCTACCGGGTGTGAATTGCACAGGATTTTTTTTTTGTCTAGCATTTTCAGGATGTACATAAGCGCAACTAACTCCAAATACAAGGGGTGCTGACGAAATGAGACGCGTAAAAAAAAATTAGTTTTACGAGGGTTTTGTACTTACGTCATTTGCCTTTTTGAAAAATAGCTTTTTAAATGTCTGAAATTTCAACCAAACATATCGGGTCTTCAAAAAAAAAGCCAATCAAAGTTTGCTATGGTTTTTTAAACGTACGTCTTAGCAATATTTTTTTTTAATTTTGACAATGTCAGTCAATGAAATTTAATGTCAAAATGTCATGTCAAAAATCCTGACCAATATACAAACAATAATGCATACGTTTTCGTAACCAAAGCAATCTTTGATTGGTTTTTTTTTTGAAGACCCGATATGTATAGTTCGTTGCACGACACGAGGGTTTTTACTTACGTCATCGATGACGTCATAACAATTTAAAGAAAAGATTAAGTCATAGATTATTTCAAAGAGCACCTTCGGAGTTATTGTTTTGTAATAAATTTTTTCTACGAGCGTGCGGAAAAGTGTACTTTTCCGCACGCATTTAAGATCATTTAAGTATCACTTTTCCGCCTAGTGCTTTTCCGTTTTTTTTCCGCACCGAGTGCGGAAAAATGATCACTTTTCCGCACTCCGTGCCGAAAAGTAGAATACCTGAAATTTTTAGGTATACAGGTACAGGGTGGCCCAAATTCGAGCCTCATCATTGGGATCTCGGAAACCGTGAGAGATACAGGGTCGGTTAAGTTATGGCAAAGTTGCGCATTTTAATGCTCAACAAAATGCCGCTTTGATATTTAGGATATTTCGAATACTTCCGGAGATATCCAGAAAAAACCGGAATTTTACAAAATGTTTATTTTTTCCTGACTTTATTTGAAGTGATACTTCAAAAAAAATATTACTTCATCTTAGCCACTTTTTCTCCCCTACAAGATTCTATCATCAAATTTAAAATATGATGTTTCGTCTTTGGACCACCATCATCAAATTTACTTTTCTAAATACGGACCCTCGTTTTTTATTTCAGATTTCAAGAGCTTCTGATATCCCAAAACCTATGACGAATCGCATTTATTCGAAAAATTTATATTATTGGCACTTTCCATAAAAACTAAATGTGTTAGAGAGAGACAGAGAAAAGAATTTTGGTAGGAAATTACTAAGAAGTAAAAAAAAAAAATATTTTTTTTTACTACCGTGCGTAAAGTACTCACTTTACGCGCTATTCAGAAGACGTAAAATTTTACTTCACGCACTAGTGCGTAAAGTAATGTCAATGACAGATGTCGACACTGTCAATTTGGCATTTTTCTGGTAAATCACTTCACGCACTAGTTCGTAAAATGAAAATTCTTTACGCACTAGCGCGTGAAGTATTTGACTAAATTTATTTTCGTACACATATTTGATTGGTAGTAGAAAAAATTTTGTATGCAATATTTGCGTAAAAAATCACATGAGTGAAAAAAGGTTCACTTTACACACTTGTTGCATAAATAACTATTTTCGGATAAATGCGATACGTCATAGGTTTTGGAACATCAGAAGCTCTCAAAATCAGAAATAAAAAATCCAGGGTTGTATTTAAAAAAAATAAGTTGATGATGGTGGCCAAAAGACGAAACGTCAGATTTTAAATTTGATGGTAGCATCTTGTAGGGGAAAAAAAGTGGCTATGATGAAGTGATATTTTTTTCGAAATATCATTTCAAATAAAGTCAGGAAAAAATAAAAACAATTTTGCAAAATTTCGAAATTTTTCTGGATATCTCCGGAAGTATTCGGAATATCCTGAATATCAAAGCGGCATTTTGTTGAGCATCAAAATGCGCAACTTTGCCATAATTTAACCGACCCTGTATCTCTTACGGTTTCCAAAATCCCAATGATGAGGCTCGAATTTGGGCCACTCTGTACTTACAGATTAACAGGATATACTACCAGGTACAGGTACAAAAAAGTGAAAAAAAATATCTTAAATTGATAAATATGTAGATGAAAATATTACCTTTCATCTCGTAGAAAAAATAGTGTTCTTAACTCGTGCGGAAAGTATCTTTTCCGCACTTGATTGCTTGCCGAATTTCGCTGCGCGTCGGTCGATAAACTGCAATCGCGTGCGGAAAAGTGGTACTTTCCGCACTAGTTAGGAAATATACTATTTTAACTTAGAATAGAGTTTATTCAGTTATCCGAAAATATACATGTATAAATACATTTCTCCTGGAGTGATTTTTCACTGGAAAATTTTGAAATTTTCTTCTAATGAGCTCCTCACTTTCCTCTTTCTCCTGTAAAAATTTCAAAATTTTCCCGTTGCCAGTTTTCCAGAAAAAAATTAAAATGTAAGAGGGTGAATTTTCTTCAATTTTGCCTTAATAAGTCAATTTTCTTTGAGTTTTTCCTGGAATGATTTTTTACTGGAAAATTTCGAAATTTCCCTGTAATAAGCTCCTCACTTTTCTCTTTTTCCTGGAAAATTTTCAAAATTTTCCCTTTGCCAGTTTTCAAGAAAAAAATTAAAATGTAAGAGGGTAAATTTTCCTTAACTTTGCTTAAATAAGTCAATTTTCCAGTATTTTTCCTGGGATGATTTTCCACTGGAAAATTTTGAAATTTTACTATAATAAGCTCCTCATTTTCGTCTTTCTCCTGCAAAAATATCACAGTTTTCACTCTGCCAAATTTCCAGAAAATAATTGTAATATAAAAGAATGAATTTCGCCTAAAAAAGTCAGTTTTCCTAAATTTTTCCTGGAGTGTTTTTTCACTGGAAAATTTTGAAATTTTGCTATAATAAGATCCTCACTTTCCTCTTTTTTTTGTGAAAAAAATTCACAATTTTCCTTTTGCCAGTTTTCTAAGAAAAAAATGTAATTTAAGAAAATTAATTCTGCTTAAAAAAGTCAATTTTCCCGAATTTTTCCTGGGATGATTTTCCATTGGAAAAATTTGAAATTTTCCTATAATAAGCTCCTCACTTTCATCTTTCACCTGAAAAAATTGCACAATTTTTACTTAGTCAGTTTTCCAGAAAAAAATTGAAAAAACTTTGATATTTCTGTGAGAAACTCGAGTTCGAACTGCTATTATCGTCTAGCAATTTTTCAGCGATATTTTCAAGACAAAACCTTCCATTTTTTTCCCGCATATCGTGTTTTTTCACATCAGCGCGGTCACCGTTTTAAAGTTATTATTATACATATTTATATGGACATATGGCAACGCCGAGTAGCCATCAACTGGAACCACGTTGATTACGGCGAGCCTACCACTCCGATGGAGCCCGGCTCGAAAAGTCTGGCTCCATTTGGGAGTCAAAAAATATACATGGAATAGGTTTTCTATAAGTGTTAACTATAATATTCTTTGGTTTGGTCAACTCTTTGAATTTTTAGACTTTTTTTTCAGTTTTTTCATATTTTTTTAATTTTTGTCCAGTTTTTTAATTTTTTTTTCAACATTTACCACACTTTAATCTCTATCAATTTTAAAATGTAAATTTTATACACAAATTCATAATAACAAACAAAATAAAATCAAATAAAAATATTGACAAAAATAAAAATAGATAATGTTATGTGGAATAAAAAACCAGAAAAAATAACCTAAAAAAAATTTTTTTTTTTTTTTTAAGGTCTGATGAAAAATAATGACAAGACAAATTTGACGTTTGACGTATCAGCAGGTAAGATAATAAAAAAATCATTTTTTGACATTTGAATTTTGACATGATGATTGTTCATTTCACAGACCTGTTCTGACCAAAAAAAAAATGATGTCGATTAAGAACGGCCATCTGACTAAAAACAATCGAATTTTAATTATTTTTAATTAATTTTTAATTGGAAATTTAATTTTTTTTTCTTTTTTATAGGAAAAAACACAACACAACAGTTTTAGGGTAAGTTGAATTTTTTTTTTTTAAATAAATAAATTATCACTGATCATAATTATGGATATTTTTTTATGATGAGATAATTTAGTGTAGAAGATGTTTTCAAAAAAAAATCGCTGTTTGTTGCAAAGAGGATCTGACAATTGACACGTGTCATTTTTTTTACGTTTGATATTTTTGACACCTATTTATTTAAACTTTTTTTTCTAGAAAATGTCTTTTACACTGATTTACGAAGAATAAATAATGAATAGCATTTTTGGTAAGATAAAGTCATTTTATTTAATATTTTGTATGTGTATTTTTTTTAAATTCTTTGGTTCATTATACCAAAGAATATTATAGACTAACGTCTCTAGAAGAACCGTCCGGCGGCGAAAATATAAACCTGCGTGATGGCGCTAGTGTCCTAGTAAAATCAGTCGTTTCTGCGATTAAATTAATTTGAGGCACTAAATGCACGCGTATTTGCTAGGCTGCGTTGCCAAGTTGTCTTTTGTATAACAAATTAAATGCCTGTGTTTTATATAGGTACTTATTATACATATACCTACCATAGAATAGGAATATTATTATAATTTAAAAAAAATAATAAATAGGTAAATAGTTATGTATTTTTGTGGGTAGTAATTTTCTGTTACTAATAAATAGAGGAATAAAACACAAAAATTGTTTCTGTCTGTCTGTCTGTCTGTGTGTCTACCTATGTCCGTTATAGACTTTGAAACTATCCGATCGATGTGCCTCAAACCAGTTTAATGTTTAATATGAAAGGCAATAATAATAAGAAGGTTTTAGACCGCTAATGACAGGTGTCAACTGTCAAATTGAAACAGTTGCAGATTGAACCATATCTGCACATTTTGCAAAACTTGAAAATAGGTGTGCAAAGTTGTGCAAAATTATGTGAACCTAGTAGCATAAGGATTTTTCAACTTTTTGAAAAACGAGGGGGGGGAGAGTGGGGAGACAAGCATAGGATCTTTTAATTTTTCGACAAACGGGGGGGAAAGTGCAAATTTTTAATGCCTTAATAACTTTCCCCAGAAACGTGCGCAAAATTGGCCAAAGCGAGTAGCATAAGCGCAACTAGGCTCCAAATTTGAGGCACCATTTTTTTTTTTTTTTTTTGGAGTTTGATGGAAAGCAAATGAGACGCGTTGGTTTCACGAGGGTTTGTACTTACGTCATCATTTGCCTTTTTTTAAAAAAAATTGATTTTTTTATGTCTGAAATTTCAAACAAACATATAGTTCGTTTCACGGCACGCAAGTTTTTACTTACGTCATCGATGACGTCATAACTTAGAGAAAAAGTTATGTCATAGATTAATTCATGGAGCACCTTCGGAATTATTGTTTTGTAATACATTTTTTAACTTAGAAGAGAATTTATTCAGTTATCCGAAAATATATAAATAAAATTTCTCCTAGAGTGATTTTTCACTGTAAATTTTTGAAATTTTCCTTCTGCCAATTTTCCAGAAAAAATTTAAAATTAAAAAAATGAATTTTGGTTAAAAGTTAGTTTTCCAGAATTTCTTCTGGAGTGATTTTTTACTGGAAAATTTTGAAATTTTTATACATACATATAATGAACTTCTCACTTTCCTCTTTCTCCTGTAAAAATTTCAAAATGTTTCTTCTGCTAGTTTTCCAAAAAAAAAAAAAATTGTGAGAGGATGAATTTTCCTTAATTTTACTTGAAAAAGTCGATTTTCCAAGTGATTTCTCACTGGAAAATTTCGAAATTTTCCTATAATGAGCTCCTTATTTTCTTCTTTCTCTTGGAAAAATTTCACAACTTTTGCTTTATTAGTTTTCCAGAAATAAATTGAAATGTGAGAGGATGAATTTTCCTTAATTTTGCTTAAATAAGTCAATTTTCCAGAATTTTTCCTGAAGTGATTTTTTACTGGAAAATTTTGAAATTTTGTTTTAATGAGATCCTCACTTTCCTCTTTTTTCTGAAAAATTTCCACAATTATCCTTTTGCCAGTTTTCTAGAAAAAAAATAAAAAGTAAGAAAATGAATTTTGCTTAAAAAAGTCAATTTTTCCTTAGTTATTGCATTTTCGAAAAACTCATAATTTTCGTAATTCCCCCATAACTTTTTCGTAATTTTCCCATAACTTCAAAAATCATAATTTTTTCGTAATTCCCGTAATTTTTTGTACTTATTTTTAATTCTCCTAAATTTTTGAAAAACTTCGTTATTTTTAAATTCTCCCCAAGTTTTGTAATTTTCATAATTTCAAAAATTCGTGATTTTCATAATTCCTATAATTTTTGTAATTCTCTTTATTTTTATAATTCCAGTAATTTTTCGTAATTCCTGCAATTTTCCGTAACTTTTCAAAAATTGCGAAAAAGTGAGTGTCAAAATTGCTGGAAAGTGACGTTGGAATTACGAAAAATAGAAGTAAAAATTACGGAAAAATGAGGTTGGAAATGTTGGAATTAGGCAATCCAACGACCTGTCCAAATGGCGTCTGGTTGGCAAACAATAAACAAAACACATATGTTTTTTTTTGGCAGGATTAAGCCTAGTACTCATAATTTGCTCTTTTTTGACATTGCATCGACAATTTGACGTTGAAAAAAGAGCGAATTTCGCTTTTATGAGTACCAGGCTTTATCAATACACGGGACGAGTTCTCAAATCTGACACTTTTCTGACATCGTTGACATGTAAAAACCCGTATTCTAACCTCATAAAAATTTCAAAATGCCGGCTGGTTGGCAAAAGTCACGTGGTTTGGATTCCCTAATTGCGAAAAAGTTGAGTAAAAATGGCGGAAAAGCAAGGTTATAATCGAGAAAAAATGAGGTTATAAATACGAAAGATTATGGAAAAATTAGGTTGAAATTGCGGCAATGTGAGGTGAAAATCGCGGAAAAGTGAGCTTATACTTATTGAAAAATGAGGAAAGAATAACGGAAAAGTGAGGCAAAATTCGTGGAAAATTTTGTTGAAATTGCGAGAAAGTGAGTTTGGACTTTGAAATTGCGGAAAAGTGAAGGTTAAATTGCGAAAAAAAATTGTTGAAAGCCGTTATTTCTCAAATAAATTTCGTTATTTTTATAATTTTTCCTTAGTTTTTGCAATTTTCGCAAAACTCCTAATTTTCGTAATTCCCATAACTTTTTCGTAATTTTCTTAATTTTTCGTAACTTTCCAAAATTCCCGTAATTTTTGAATAATTCCTGTTGTTTCTCAGATTTTCGTAGTTTTTTAATTTCTGTAATTTCTCAAAATATTCAGTTACCTACTTATTTTATAATTCCCTCTAAGTTTTTGTTACTTTCAAAAATTCGTAATTTTCGTAATTTTCAAAAATTTTTTATTGTGAATTTTCATTATTTCCATAATTTCTCAGATAATTCTCCCTATTTCTATAATTCTTCCTTAGTCATTGCAATTCTTGGAAAACTCGTAATTTTCGTAATTCCCGTAACTTTTTCATAAATCCCGTAACTTACCAAAAATTATCGTAATTTTTTCGCAATTCTCGTGATTTTTCCTTATCTTTTCTAATCTTTATATTTCCTGTAGTTCCTCAAATTTTCGTAATTTTATAATTCCCGTAATTTCTCAAAAAAACTCCGTTATCTTTATAATTCCCCCCCAGTTTGTTGTGATTCTCAAAAATTGGTAATTCCCGTATTTTTTTTTTCTTGGAATTTTCGAAAATTCTTAAATTCCCGTCATTTTTCAAAAAATTCTCGTTAATTTCATAATTCCCCCTTAGTTTTTGCAATTTTCGGAAAATTCGTGAATCCTGTAACTTTTTGTGTAATTTTTTGAAAATTGTCACAATTTTTTTAATTCTTGTGATTTTTTCGTATTTTTCATAATTTTTGAATAATTCCTGTAGTTTTCAGATTTCCGTAATTTTTTAATTCCTGTAATTTCTCAGACAACTCCGTTATTTTCATAATTTTGAAATTATATAAGTCTCGTAATTTTCGTATTTTATTTTGGGAATTTTCGAAATCTTGTAATTCCTGTCATTTCTCAGATAATTCTCGTTATTTTCCTAATACCCCCTTAGTTTTTACAATTTTCGAAAAACTCGAAATTTTCGTAATTTCCATTACATATTTTCGTAATTTTTTAATTTCCGTAATTTCTCAAAAAAAATTCGTTAGTTTTATAATTTTCTTAAAGTTTTTGAAATTTTCGAAAATTGGTAATTTCCGTATTTTTTTTTGGGGATTTTCGAAATTTTTTAATTCGTGTCATTTCTGTGATAATTCTTGTTATTTTCTAATTCCCCGTTATTTTTTTCAATTTTTGGAAAACTTGGTAATTTTCGTTATTCCCGTAATTTTTCACGCTTTTTCCAGTAATTATTTTAATTTTCAATTTTCCTAATTTCCAAAAAAAATTGGGAATTTTCTAATTCTCCCTAAGTTATTGTAATTTTCGTAATTTCAAAAAATTGTGATTTCCGTTATTTTGGGAATTACCGTAATTCACGTAATTTTGAAATGACTTTGTAATTCTTTTCCGTAATATTTCGTAATACCCGTAATTTTTGTAATTTTCGTAGTTTTTTGTATTTTTCTCAATTCCCGTAATTTTCATAATTTCTCATAATTCCCGCAAATTTTCGTCATTTCCGTCATTTTACTAGGTTCCGTAAATTTTTAAAATTCCCATTATTTTTCGTAATTCCCGTAATTTGTCTTGTTAGTTTTCGTAACTTTTCAAAAATTAGTAATATTTAAATAATTGACGTAATTTTGGAGTAACTTCGTAATTCTTTTGCGTAATATTTGGCAATTCCCATAATTTTTGTAATTTCCGCAATTTTTTGTTTATCCGTGATTCTCGTAAATGTTTGCAACTCTCTCTAATTTTTCATATTTTACGTAATTTTTCGTAACTTTTCAAAAATTATCGTTATTTTCGTAATTTTGAAATGAGGAAAAATGAGGATAAAATCGTGGAAAGTGATGATAAAATCACAAAAAAAAGAGTCAAAAATCGCAAGAAAAAT